TCACAACCCACTCCCTTTTCTGCCCCCTCCCTACACACAACCCCTCCCCCCCCCCAGCTGCTCACAGCCCTGACACACAACCAAGCAGATCAAACCCAGAGCAGCTGCAGCCGGGTGGCCTTGTGACCCTGGCCTGTCGCCCTCCCTCTTGCCTTCAGAGGGGCCGGAGACATGAAGGGGCTGGAAGTGGACGCACAGCCCCGCTCAGAACCCCCCCGCGTACACACACCTGCACTAGACCCCCCCCCCCACAGCTCGTTGTATCCCACAGCTGCTGCGGGGGGAGAGGGAGCTGTTCTCCTTTGGAGCTGGGTTCAAACCGGGGCCAGCCATGGCGCACCTGGGCTCCAGTGAGCTGAATGAAGGAGCCCGGACTCCTGGGTTCTATTCCCAGCCTTTGGGGTTACAGCAGGTTGGGGTCTAGTGGTTGGAGCAGGGCGGTCTGGGAATCAGGACGCCTGGGTTCTATCCCTGGTTCTGGAAAGGGAGCGGGGTCTAGTGGTTGGAGCAGGGCCGTCTGGGAGTCAGGACGCCTGGGTTCTATCCCTGGTTCTGGAAAGGGAGCGGGGTCTAGTGGTTGGAGCAGGGCCGTCTGGGAGTCAGGACACCTGGGTTCTATCCCTGGCTCTGGATCTTAAACTTTCCCATTTTACAAATAAGTCGCCTGAAGTCCCAGTGCTGGGAACAGAACCCAGGTGCCCGGCAGACCCAGTTCTAATCCGCTCTGCCTTTCAGACGGGATGTGTCACATATATGTGCCTGGGTAAGTCTCTCTCTAACCATTGTGTGACATTTCCCTTCCAGAGCTCCGGGCGCTTGATCCCCACTGCTCTGCGGCTGCCTGGCAAATAACTACATCACCCACATGTATTTAACCCCCTCCACCCCAGTTCCCTAGTCATTTCTCCTGGAGCGCCGTAGGAGCAGCTTGGGGTGGGACTCTGAAAACCCAGCATTCAAAGCCTGCAGGGGCATCTTATGGCTGCCTGGCCTAGAATGTGTTGGGTGTGGTCCCCAACAGAAGGAGGTCTCCCCTCACCCACCTCGTCTCTGGTGCAGAATCAGGTTTATTTAATTAACGGCATTGGGGGAGAGGTGGGGAAGACCCTGTAAAACAGGCGGTCGAGTTTTAAAAAAAACGCACTTGGCCAGATCTGGGGTGACCCCTCCCCCCCGGCCCCAAGATCCAGGCGGCTCACAGGTCCGTCGCCAGCGCGTACGCCTGTGGCCTGCTGGTGAGCCGCGAGGCTCGGAGGGGGGGTGGGGAAGGCTGCAAGGCGGGCAGGCCGCGCGCCAGAGAGCACGCCGACCTTTGGGGAGCGGACGCAGATGGCAGAAGATAAGTTTGAAGAAATCCAGGCCGAGCTGGAATTCTCCTGAGCCCGCGTGGGGGAGGCTGCCCGGCGGACGGAAAACTCCCCAGGGGACGGCAGCCTGTTTGTTAGCAGGGCTGTGACAGGCCTTTTTCTGGGTCCCACTCTGGGGCAGGCATCCCAGAATGCAGTGCAATGAGCGGGGTGGGAGTGGGGGTAGTAAGACTGGTTTAGCAGTTGCCGGGGGGGGGGGGAGGGGCATTAAACTCTGAGTTTCAGCAGCTCTGGGACCAAGTCCCAGCACCCTGTTGGACCTTGGGCAAGTCACTATCCAGGCTCTGTGACTCAGTTTCCCCAGCTGTACAATGGGGCAGTGCCGTACAGTGGCTAGGGCACTGGAGGAGGAGGAGGCAGGATACCTGGGTTCTATTCCTGGCTCTGTTGCTGAATGACCTTTGGATAAGTCGTCCCGCACCCCCCGGCTCTGTGCCTCAGTTTCCCCATCTGTAAAACAGACACAGAACTTCCCAGGAGTGCTTTAAAAATACCCAGAATTCTCTGCTTCCTGGCACCAGTAAGGGGATGGGGATGTCTGCAGATTTTCCCAGCAGGCACCAGTGGTGCCCCTAGTTGGGCAGCAGGGTAGGGGTGGAGAAGGGCCCACGGGGAGTGACTCTAGCAGATGGAACCTGCAAGGAGATGTTTATTTGCACCTAGTTCTGTGCTGGAGGAGGGGGCAGGTTAATGGGCTAGGCCCCCCCGCCTCTGAGCCATACCAGCAAGGGGACACCCCTCTCCCAGGGCATGGGGGGGGTCAGAAGCTATGGTGGGGGGGGTCAGAAGCTATGGTGGGGGGTGCAGACCGCACGGATCTACCTCAGGAGAATGGGGTGAATTCAGAGCACGTGAGGCCAGCGAGAGGGAGCCCGAACCAATGCAAAGTGCCCAAGACTCATGCACCCCAGCCCCTATGACCCCCCCCCCCCCCCCATCCCCCCCCCCCCCCCCCAGCCACCGCACACTGTGGGAGCTGCCCAGCCGTCCACTGGGCCCCTCCCAACCCAAGGTACGGATCCTGATTCCAAGTCAGCCTGGTGTAAACGGGCACAGAATGCATCCGGATGTATTTAACACTGACTCTTACTGGTCAAGCAGCATCAGTTGAAATTAACGAACATGCCCAGGGCCTCATTGTGTTTGTTTTTTTTTACTGGCATTTCCCCCCCTCTACCCCCCCCCCCAAAAAACCGATGTCACAGATCCGTCGCTGATCTGGGGGTTGGCAGTTGTCACGGCACTTCTGACGCCAGCAGATGCAGCCGTGGGACTGATTAACGCCCTCCTGCTGGAGTCAGTGGACAACACCCTCAGGGCCCACCGAGGGCACAAGCAGCCCCCCATCAAAATTCCCCCTGTGCCGGGGATCTACTCTGGCCAGTGTGGAGCTGGTGTCAGGGCTCCCTGCTTGAGTTGAAGGCGGGGGCCTGGCTGGAGCGCCCTGCACTGCGGCTTTTCTCTGCCCCCAGGGGGCAGAGCATGAATTAGAGCAACCTCAAGGCTGCTCTAACATTCACCACAGGCCAGACCTGGAATACGGGGAGCACAAAGCAGAACTCAAAAGCCACCTGCCCCCACGTGCCGGGCTGGGGAACCTGGGAATCGGGCCCCCTGAATACAGCAGCGTAATAATAATTCAAGACGCCTCCCTCCAGTACAGCAAACCCAGCTCAGGTGATCTCCTCCCAGATAAACCTCCAGCTTGATCTGACCCCAATGGACAGGGTCAAAGACCCAAACCATATCCATTTGCTGGGAGCTCCTGGGGCCTGCATGGACTAAGTTTGATGGCCCTTGGCCTGGTTCCTACTGGACACGTGTCCGCCCTACCCACCCCAGCTGGCTCTGGTTGGCCCAGTCCGAGGCCAGCTGGGACCCTTAGATCATCAGTCTGATCTCCAGGCTGTTAAATTTTGCCCGGCTCCCCGTGTATGGAGCCTGATCACTTACACTGGCCTATCCAGCCTGTGATTTTTGTTCTGTCTCTGCTAAACACATGAGCCCTTTAAAGCCCAGGATGTTTGCCCAGTATACGCTGTGATCAAGTAACCAGGGCCATAGACGCGGTAAAATCAGGTCACCTCTGGATCTTCTTTGTGCTAAGCCAGCTGGAGCGTCGTAAAATCGCTCTCTCTCCCGCGGGCATCTTCTCCCGCTCTTGAATCATTTCTGTGGCTCTTCTCTGCGCCCGCCCCAATTTTGCAACAGGCGTGTTTAAATGCGCCCCCTCCACCCCAGAGCTGGGCGCAGCATCCCAGGCCCGGTCTCACCGACACCGCCTCGCTCCTGGTCTAGATAACACTTAGTCCTGCCAGGAGTGCAGGGGACTGGACTAGATACCTCTCGAGGTCCCTTCCAGTCCTGCGATTCTATGAATGCGGTGATTATTTCTATGCAGCTACAAAGAAGCCGCGTCCCGAGAGCTTGTTATCAGCCGCAGGCCCAGGATGGCGAGCGTTTGGCTGGGGAGCTCCCCCCACCACCACGTGCGCTGACGCTCCCATTCATTATGTTTAGATCAGGGCTCAGCCTGCGCTGTCTAGGACCCTGGAGCGGCCGGACCGTTCAGCTCTGTACAAATACGATCCACCTGCACGCGTGAGCTTCAAACACACACAGGCGCGCGCCGCTGGCCTCTTTCACCATCTCCAGCAGCCTCCCGGTCGCCCGGGGTGGGGTGGGGGCTCTCAGGGTAGGTGGATGAGACTGCATCGGGGGTCCCCGTTATCAGGGCGTTGGCTGGGAGCGTTTGGAGTTTCAGGGCCCGATCCCCAGTGGGTGTAAATCGCCGGTACTCAGCCAACTTGGAAGGAGGTGATTTACGCCAGCTGTTCCTCAGGCTGAAGGTCTGTTTCCCTTTAGATCGTTAGCTAGTTCCCGGTGCTTTGAGCTCCGAGCTCTGCCCTTGGGTACACTCTCTGGGGCATCTGTCCCAGGGGAGATACGAAGGTTTAAATTCAGTCCAGCTGCAAGTTCCTAACTCATTTGTTGTATCTCTATCTGTCTCGCCGGTTTGGAAGATCCAGGAATAGAACCCAGGCGTCCGGCCCCCCGATCCCCTGCAGCTCTGCTGGGGGTGGGTTTTATTCCCCTCTCGGGATGGGGTGCGCTCTGTCGGGTTCTGGGATCGCCCCGGGGAAGACCATCTCGGAGTCCAAGCGGAGCCCGTCGTCGGAAAACCTAGCGGCGCCGAAAGCGGGACCGGGGCACGGAGGCGACGGGCTGGGGGCAGGTCCCTTTCCGCTGGCGGACGCGCAGAAGGAGCGGATCCAGGAGTCCTGGCGGATCCTGCACGACAATATCGCTCGGGTCGGCATCATTGTCTTTATCAGGTGAGCGACGCTGCAGGTTTGGGGGGGTTGACACGGGTCCAGATGCCCCCGATCTGTGTCATCCCCGCTCCCCTCCCTGGTGCTGTCCTGGAGTCCGGCTCACTCTGGGGGGCCTGGGGATGGACAGTTTTTGCCACCGAAGAAAATCCCCCAACTGGTTTGGTTGGTAAGAAGCCGATGGGAGTTTCTTGGCTTTAAAAAGTTCCGTGTTTCTAGCAATGCAGAGCCCAAAAGGCAAGTGTGTTCGGAGCTGGCGTGCGTCTAGCTCTCCGGTGTTCAAGGGGGCACTAAGGAACCCACGGGCCCAGACCCCCAACTGATGTCAGTCGGCATCGCTCCTTTGACTCCAGTGGAGCGCGGGCCCATTCACACCAGCTGGGGGATCTGACTCCGATGGGGCCAAACCTGTTTACACTGGCTGCGGATCTGGTCCGACGCCACTGGAACGCTGCCCGTTTGCACTAGCTGGGGATGTGTGGCCGTGGTGCCGGTCTGGAGCCAGCCTTCGAGATCAGCCACTGATCTGTAAGGAGGAAGCCCAGGCACAAGTCTTTGGGTCTTACTCGTAGCGGCAAATTGTTTCCGGCCTTGCGCCAGTGTTTATTCCTGCATTTCACATTCGAACACAAGCGCTGTCAGTTTTGATTCCTGGGTTCTGTTCCCACCTCTGGGAGGGGAGTGGGTTCTATCCCAGCTTTGGGAGGGGAGTGGGGTCTAGTGGTTAGAGGAGGGGGGGGCTGGGAGCCAGGACTCCTGGGTTCTATCCCAGCTCTGGGAGGGGAGTGGGGTTGGGAGGGGCTGGGAGCCAGGACTCCTGGGTCCTATTCCCAGCTTTGGGGTGGGGAGGAACAGTGGCTAGTGAGTACAGCAGAGGGGGAACTGGGTTCCAGGACTCCTGGGTTCTATACTTAGTTCTGGGAGGGGAGTGGGGTCGAGCGTTACCCCAGGGGAGAACAGGACGCCTGGGTTCCGTTCCGACACTGA